ATATGTGAATTCGTTTTAGATCATTTTAAAACTGCTGTTGATGCCGGTTATATTATCCACGACAAAGATTTACAAAAATGGGGACTACAATCACAGAAAGATATTGGCAATGAAGATATTCGATTTAAAATCTCAACCAAATGGCTATATAACTTTAAAAAGGCACATAGAATTAAAAAATTAACAAATTTTTTACGAAGAAAACTCTTTATGATTCCACATCTATAAATTTCAAAGCAAATCAATTTGTTAACGAAGTTAAGCAAATAATTTAAAAAAAAGTATAGAATCTATATACAATTCCGACGAAAGTGGTTTTTAATTAGAAATGCATTTTGGACGAACGTTAGCAGTAGAAGGAGAACAACAAGTGCAATGTTTGGTACAATCTGTATCATCAGTATCTCATAGCTATACAATCCAACCTACAATATCGGGTGATGGGAGGCTTTTATCCCCCTTATTTATGATTCTACAAAAAAAGAAGTGGCCAGTTTGGACTAATAGTAGAAGCAAATTTATTCAGACCAGTTAATGTTTATGTGACGCCTTTAAAATCCGGCAAACTTACATCCGGTACAAAACAATCATTACGTAACTTATTTGTTTGTTCACAATATTGAATTCTATTTTTATAAATGGATGGGTTTTCTTCATTATTACAGATCGTTTCAAAATATTGTTAAAGGAAGTGTATTTTCCTAATGTTGGTCCTTCCACTGTTTTGTTAATTAACTCATGGAAGGGACACTGCCTATCCGCAGTACAAGAAACAATACCTTCTAATAAAGATATTATAGTTAAGAGAATTGCAAAATTTACAACTGGTAAGATTCAACCTTTAGACGTGTGTGGCTTTAGGATATGGAAAAGCTACGTTAGGAATTTCTCCGATAGCGTACGCTAAATTCAAATCCTCGTTTATAAGTATTACGTAATACTTATGAACGAGGATTGGAATTTACATTTACGCAATCATATTATCGAAAATAAAAGCTTTAGTTCATAACCAATTGTCATCTCCTCGATATATAAATTTATTTAAATATTCTTGGTTTAAAAGCGGTTATACATTAATTAAACCACCTGACTTTACGCACCGCGTTGAATTCGCCTTTAGAGGTGATAGCAATGTTTGGTGCGAAGTTGAAGGGTATACTAATGTAGCCGTGTAAGAAATCATTGTGCTTTCAACATTTCTTTCATAATTATCATTATTGCACAGCGTATGAACCATAATTGTTACAAATGCTTGTGTTACTGTATGCATTTGGTATTATTTTAAAATCCCAAAAAAGAGATCAATCAAATGTTAGTTATAACTCTAAACAAAAGAAAAAAGTACTCATTTTATTATCTTCTCTATTGTAATTAAATTATCAAATATATAATTAATTAAAAACAATAAAAAAATTAGCCCTATGTGAAAAGGGGTAGTTCACCCCCATGAAGGGGTAAAATTGCTTGAAGATTGTTGCATCTTGCATATTTCTAACAATTTCTATTGATTTTTACAGCGAAACGAAATGTGTTCAGATAGTGTTTTATGTATGAAGAGAGGTAGTTACCCCCTTAGATATTTTTTTCATGGAAATTCCAAAAATACGTCAACTTTTTTTTTGAATCTCCTTTACAGAATATAAGTTTTTGTTTATATTTAGTTACATTGTACATTTTTAATCTGAAAAGTTGTTTAAAAAACAAGTTTTACCCCCATATAACCCTAATAACGTCACCCCCTCAGGGGTCTCACGTATGTCTGGGAATTTTTTTGAGAGCCCTACATTATGCAATTGAAAAAAGAAAAAAATTCCTATTGGTTTGCTTAAAAATCACAAAAAACGATTTTTGGGGATGAACTTTAGGGGCCTTTTTTCACCCCTTAAATATGCGATAGGCAACTTATAAAAATATACGTGTCGAATATTTTTCAAAGAACTACAACATATAACAAGATGAGCGAAATCGATGAGGTACACCTGGCAAACTTATAGGTTGTGGTAAATATTAAAATACAAAATATAATGAAAAATATTTTAAATTGCTGTCAAATTCCGTTGTGAAAACCTAACATTAGGAGAGAATATTTTTAAAATAAATATGGGTGATTAGGAATCGCACCCGGATTCGACGAACAGGGGCGTAGCCAGAAATAAATTTCGGGAGGGATTTTGTAAAGGCTCAGGCTTTAAAAATCTTAAACTTATATTGTGCTTATATTAAAAACATAACAATGACAAGATTTTAGGGGAGTTTCAACCTCTGAAACACTCTCTTGCTACGAACGACCGTAACTGACTAGATAAACAATCAACTACCACAGAAAAAACCAATTATATTTGTTAATTATTATTATTAACATTTTTATTATTATAATGGTTACACAAATAACAACACTCATAACACAGACACAAAAAATTCCGATTGTGAAGACTGACATATGGTAGGTTCTCTTTTTTATGATGGATGTATCTAAAGAAAAAAATAGAGGTAATCTGATCTCGATTTTGGTTCTTGTTTTATTTACAGGCTAGGCGGGGGTCGAAAAGTCTTAGAAATTAACATGTATGGAACTTAATTATACTTAATTTTCATATCAAAAACTGAATTTTCGCATATTCTGACGGTTGATTTGGATTCAGTGACTTTCATTACATATCAATTGGATATAAAAAAATAAATAAAAATGACGGACCTAAAATGGCTCGGGGTTTTTTTAGGAAACCGATTCTAATTTCAGTTTTCAAAAATCCAATATAGCGGAATTTTTTCTTTCGAATGTACGAAATAAATTGGAACTTTTTACTCGAGAGGTTTCGTGGTCGCAGAATACGAATTGAATATCAGATTTTAAAAATTCCTAATAGCGTCTCCAATATAACTTACGTTTAAATTTTTCTTAATTTTCTTTATTCTTTTAACTTAGGGGTTTTTTCTATACGCTATTTTAAAATCTGTTTTTTTCGTAATCCAGAAATGGTTTACTGTAAATGTTATACTAGAATATAATCACACTGCTGTGAGAATAAAATTTTAAGTAATTTTTGAACTACACTGGAACCTCGATCGAGTCAACTAATCGGGGAGTTTGGCCAACCAAAAATTTTAAGTTGTTTAAAATATGTTTAGAGAAGTTTTGCTGACCGTCTGTCCAACCAAGGCCCAGAGTTTGGTCAACCAAAGCGCCCAAGTAGGTTAAGGGGACACTCGCAGTTGTAGCACCAAAAAATAGACCTTTTTTATGATTTTTTTTCTCGTACACCATAAAATTTTTTCAAAATATCGATTTATTATTTAAAAGTACATATATTAAACATGAATTTCAAAAAAAAGTTAAAAATATTAAATAATTTTAAAGTTATCTCCTGTCAAAGTGGCGTCCTTTTGAAAAACATGGTTTGCGGTGACCAACACTATGAAAATCTGGTTCGTCTGAAATCAAAAATTGAAACGGATTTACATTTATTTAAAGATTATCTAGTCCTTGATCGAAGGGTTTGAAAAAAAATTTAACAAAATGGCTACCTGTCAAAGTTTAACGTTCGATTTTCGTAAAAAAAATCAGTCGTTTTTCAGCTGTAAAAAGAAAAGTTTTGCATAAAAAAATCAATCCTTCGATCAAGGACTAGATTATTATGTATTGAAAAAGTATGTTAAATTTCAAGACAATCAGTTTATTAGTTTTCAAGTAAGAGTGGTCACCAACTTCAAAAATGTACTTTTGAGAAAAACGTGTTTAAAGTTTTAACTTACTCTTACATGAAGATTGAATTTTTTTTTTAAATCAGATAGAATCATCAATTCCTGGACAATATAATAATACTTCCGCAGATGAAGCTGCTTCCAAAATCCCAATTCAAATGTAAAAGTATAAAGACCCACACGGCCGTTAGTCTGTTCTCGATCGACCTGACGCGTCTCTCTTTCAGCCTGTACATCTCACTCAATTTTTACCAGATCATCTTAAAATTTTGTAGACATATTTCTGACAACATATACTTTAAGAAAATGCAAAAAAATCGATTTTTTTAAAGTTACAACTGCGAGTGCCTCCTTAAACTATGTTTCCTGTACTTTTGCCGACGGTTGGCATAACTCTGGTTACGGTTGGCCCGATGGTTGGTTAAACTCTGCAGCCCATGGTTGGCTGACATCTTATGGGAAAGATGCTTCGGAATGCCTCCAGAATGCGGTCCAAAATATTTTAAAAATATTACAACATTGTTTTTTATTCGCAAAGAGCACATTAAATACGAAATAATTTTGATGAGAAGATTTGAGAAGGCTCCAGCTGTGCCAGGGATTCAAGAAAGCCAGTTTTATTCCGAACATAAATATACTATTATCTACTAATAAAAAGAGTTTCTACTGCTTTGACAGGATTAACATTTATGGCCAAGGAGTTACTTATATCCGAAAAACAACAATACGAATTATTTGAGCAAAACTTTATCAAGAAATTGAAGTTATTAAAATCTAATTTTGACTAAAATATTTTTTACATCATTTATTATAATTACTTACATTGCAATGTTATAAGTCATTTAAATAAACTTATACTATCATTATAACAATAAATGTATAGTGCTATGAGGGAACTTAAATTTAAATCTGAGTTTTTTAAACTGTAATAATAATAATAATAATAATTTGTTAATCGTATATGAAAATGGGGTCTTATTTTTCCTTTAAAAAACATAGTACCATTTTCATATGATTAAGAAAATTAATGGCTTTTTAAAATGTTTTTGGGTTTTTACATGTGTGTTTTTTGTGCCTGTCAGATATAAAGTATATTTTTCAAATTTCTTTAGTGTTTAGTAATTGTAAAAGGTAAATTTAATGTAAAATTTTTTGTTTAAAATGCTACTTATATCTAGAAATTGCATGTGAGCTATTTATCAATATATACATCGACAGTGAAAAATAAATAATTGTTTATTATTATTATCCAATAAGAAATATTATTGACAGATTTTGAGAGTTATATAAATTTTCAGGACGAGAAGAATCAATTGCTGATCACCAACCTGTGGCTAAAATTGGTATGTATTCTTAAGTACTAAGATAAATATTATGTATAATATTGTCAGCTTATTTTTTTAACGTTGATGTTTGCACTACTCGTTTTCTACTCGGGATCTGAAAAGTTTTTGACGCATCCAAAATGGCCGCCGTAAGAAAAAAAAATTTTTAAAGTTGAGATAAGATTGACAATTGTTATTCGAGGCTTTTAGTATTAAGTTTAATTCAAATCCGATTTAACATCAGATTCGTCATAAGCGACTTTAAAAACCCCTTGGTAATCAATTTCATGAACTTAGCTTAACTCTATGTCAGGGTTAAGATAAATGATATTGATGATATTTTTATGTTATTTAAATTGGTTTTCACTTTAAAAAATAGTTGTTAAGAAACTTTTAGAAAATTATTTCTATATTTTTTAAATTTTTATTAAAATATTAATCGCAAGTCGAAATCGAGGTTATGTTTAAGTTATAGCTATCATAAAGGGGAATTAAAAACTTAATTTTTTTCATACCTTCTTGGGGAATTAAAAAAATTGGACTTAGGCTCTCTTCTGCGTATTTAAGTGTTCGATTTCAGCGGCAACCTCTCGAACTATTGCTTATACCTAGATTCGAGTGTATTTGCTAATAGATCAAAAGATGCGTATCAAAAAACTCTACAAAATAAAAGAAAAACATCTACATATAGGTGAAAGCTAGAGATTCTCAAGGGAGAGTTGACGCAAGTCGAGCTGAACTGTGATTGGTAGAGGGTAACCGGAATCGGAAGTTAATCCAAAATTTATTTGATTGGTTCGAAATGAGCACGGTTGTTTGAAATGGTTTTTATTAAAGGCATTTTAAAAGATCCAACTCATTTTAACTAATAGTAAATGATAAAATAAAAGTAGTGGAAGGGGAAACATGCGTCAACTCTTCCTTGAGGATCTCTAGGTGAAAGCAAACATTTTGAAAAGTATGGCCAAAAAACGCTTTTAAAGAAATGAAGAACGCGAAAAAATATAGGTTGACATGATTAATCGAGCTCAAAATATGTTCGACCAGTCTGCCCTATACAAAAGCTTGGTTGCTGATTAAAGTTTTCAAGAATAAATGTGGAAAGTAAAATTAATAAAATTGGTTAATTTTTTTGTAGTGCACTTCTTTTTGAATATTCAGAATTAGAATAATTTGATTAAATTTATTTTTTGCACCTCTTCATTAACAAAACAATTTTAGGATAGTTTGAAAAATGTACATGACATGTAAAACTACACAACTAATTTAATCCCCAAGATACATTGAAAGGTTATATCTTCATCTCAAATTGATGAAATTCAGTTGATTCTTCTTAATTATTACGGAATTTTCTCAGGAACATACAAAATAAAATATATATAAATAAAAAAAGTAATCGAATTGCTTAATAGGAAATTCATTCTGTTTCCTAGGAGTGGAATGACGTTAACATGAGGTGGAACATTTCTGAATATGGTGGTGTAAGGGACCTCAGGATACCTCCACATCGCTTGTGGAAGCCTGACGTTCTTATGTACAATAGGCAAGTTATTTCATAATGTTTTCTTTAACTTACTGAAAATATTTATTGAATGTTTATCTACTATATTTATTATTTCTAGTGCGGATGAAGGATTTGATGGTACATATCCAACAAACGTTGTTGTCAAAAGCAATGGGACATGCTTATACGTGCCTCCTGGTATATTCAAGAGTACTTGCAAGATAGACATTACTTGGTTTCCTTTTGACGATCAAAAATGCGAGATGAAGTTTGGTTCTTGGACGTATGATGGATTTCAGGTACTTACTCATTAGTACATTAACAATTCTATATCTGAAACATAACACATACGTGACGCTCCACAAGAAAAAGGGACCTAACTCGACAAAAACTTAATTTCCAGTCTTATATGCGAATCGATATAGCATTTAAGTTGCTTTTTCATATACAAAAGTCAAAAATTGTATTTTTTAATTACTTTTTTTGTAATAAAGCTTTAAACATGACCATGTCAATCGCGTTCCAGCACGGACTACGGAAACAATTCCCACTACCACCACTACTACTAGTATACTTGTTATTGTAAACGATCGACTTTAAACTCCTTTCCTGTAAAATTCTGTTTTGTCGCGTTAGGTCCCTTTTCTCGTGAAGCGTCACATATAAATACATACTCTTGAGGACTATTACAAAATCGAAATCAGAATGAAAGCTTTCTTCTTTTGTTTTAGTGCCGTTTCAGAATGAGTTTGGACCTAACACAAATGCAATCCCATTAACATTAGAACTGCAATGCGTTAAGCCCGATTCGAGAACGGGAAATATTTAAGTCTAGTTTTCGAGTATGTATGGGGACAGAGGCTTGTTCCCAGTATTGATATTTAACTGTCATAAGTTACATAGGACAGTGACATAGGATGTTAAATGATTATTCTTCATTTGAATCACAGTCAGCACCTAGGTGACATTTCTCTACCTATTTTATGCTGATGGTAGTTCAGTAAGCCATATCCCGTGAACAAACGAACCACACTTCTAACTTAGATTTTTTTAAGTATTAGGAGATTAACAGCAAAGTTCCTTTTGAGTTTTAGGCCTAAGAAATCCCTAGTTTGTCTTCCTAACCGAGTTTCGACCCACTCCCACTTATGACAACTCTGATTCCATCGTTCTATGACCCCTTTAACCACACTCATAGTTGTCTCAGACTCACTAAATGAACTGAGGCATCCACTTTCTCATTTTCTCTGATTTCCAAGTAAACTGGTAACCTCTAAAGACACTCAGCTTCCTTCTGCCTAAGCTTTAAACACTTCTTGCGTTCTTTTTCAATTGTCGCCTTTTCTAGGTCAGACGGAATCAAACTTCTTCCGCTGCTGACATTAGAAGCGCTTGAAGCGCTTCTTCTTCTGCTTTCAAGTCTTTCCAAACGGACCTGGGGAACAATAAAAATATGAGTGCCCCCGTGGTCTATCCTCCTTATTGTGGCATTGGATGCTGCAGTACCCAAGGTGTCCAATACTGTAGCACTGTTGTCACTGGATTTCGACGCTGGGAAGCCAACTTGCTCATTTCCAGCAGTACCGTCCTGGGGTATCCCTCCCTTGCACCGTAAACGTTCTTACTTTAACCTTTGCTTTCCAAATCTCTTTTTCTCATACATAATTCTTAGTATCGGACAACAGTCGACAAGGCGTTAGTTTATTCCATTTACAAGCCATGTAAAACCGTAATAAAAACCGGGACAAAAATTTGGTACATTTTTTTATAAAAAAGTTTAGAAACCAGTTACAAATGTTGCTGTAAAAAAACGTGTTGAGCTCAGGTTGCAGTCGTATCCACTCTCTCATATAAGATTAATGTAAAAGTCGCCTAAGAAACCAAAACAAAAACCTGGTTAATTTCACATAGTCCGACTGGGTGTGAACCAGATTGAAATATTAGAAAAATCACATACTTAAACCAGATAAAACTTTGTACGTTTCGTATAAAACTAATTTGCAACCATATCAAAATATTTAAATCATACAGGTACAAACAATATAGATCAGGTTATCAGTCGACATGTTCCTTTATAAGGCCCGAGTATAAACCATGCCAAAAACCAAGACTTAAACCGGGTACGTTTCCGTATAGGACCATGTAAAACACAACTTTTCCACGATTTTTACATCATTTTTTAAATAGGGTAACTTTGATCATCATGTGTCCACTTATTCACATAATTATTAATTAACCTGCTCTGGGTTATCTCCACTCCAGCACTGTAGAATGTTTTTCCCATTGTCCTCACCAGGCGACTGAAATGTCGCTTTTTGTAGATCACGGTCAACTGGCCAGACAAAGGGTTAAATCAACTTAATTATTTTGTACCATTCTTAAAAACATTTTTCACATTGCAACGAACACGGTGGGTCCGAACTAAGTTCAACCCAAAGGTCGAGACACTTCAATTTTTTTTTGTAAAATTTGATTCTAAAATCACTGCTACTAAGCAATAACTACCACCTAAAAGTCTGAGCTCTTCAAATTTTTTTGTTTTAATTACGATATTATTTTTTTGAGTAATTTAAAACCAAAAGGAAGAAAGATTAATTGAATAAATTTTATGTAAAGTTGATTTTTTAAATTATTGTTTGCTCAAGATACTACCCTGTGGGAATCAACGCATCTTTAGGATTACTTCAGAACGTTCCAAAGTGTCCTAGGATATTGCTTCAATGTTCCGAAGGCATAAAAAAGAAGACTTAACGACGTCCAAAGTATGTTCTATCTCTGCCCCAGAACAGTCTCTAGAACGTTTTAAGAGTATCCTGAAATTGTCCCTGAAATGTCTTAAATAAGTCTTCAGAAGGTCCCTAGAATGTCCTAAAAATATCCCTGAAATGTCAAAAAAAGTTCCTTAAAGGTTTTCAAAGTATACTAAAAATGCTCCAACAATATCCTGAGAATGTCCCAAATATGTCCTGAGAATTTACCAAATATATGCTGAAAATGTCCAAGGAACGGCCTTCTCATACCCTCAATATATAAAGAAAAATGTACTAAAAAGTTCTAAAATCTTTGATAATCAAAATGAATATTGCATTAAAATTATACATACTTCGTAGCCTAATTAGGCTACGAAGTATGTATAATTCATCAGAATTATTTTTTGATCCAAATAGGCAAAAAAAAGTATATCGCGATTACTAGTCATATATATTGATCCTTATGGGCCAATTCACCGAAAAAGGATTTTGTTTTGAGAATGTACCAAACATGTCCTAAAAATGTGATACCTATATATGAAATTACGTTATTAGGATGGTTTAAAAAATGGAAAAATGATTAATTTTGATACAGCAGAGAGTATTGTGAACCCTTTTTGATCACTGAATGCGAATTTGACATTAAAATTGCAAAATTTTAAAATTCAAAATGGCGGGTGCAATATGGAAGGCAATGTTTTATAAAAGTCACCAAATTCACTCGAAAGTTGTTATTCAGGGGTTTTTAAGGTCGCTGGTTACGAATCTGAAGTCAAATTTCAAAAATTCAAAATGGCGGATCCAATATGGCGGATAAGAAAATCAAAAATTAATTGGATTTGCTTGAAAGTTGTTACACGGGGGTTTTTTGGGTCGCTGATTACGAATCCGATGTCACATTTCCAAAATTCAAAATGGTGGATCCAATATGGCGACCAAAAAAAATTTGAGATTCACTATATTTGCTTAAAACTTGTTACTCGGGGGTTTTCGGGGTCGCTGATGACGAATCTGATGTTAAATTGTCAAAATTCAAAATAGCGGATATAAAATAAAAAATTAATAACTTTTTAAAAATTTGATCGCCATATTGGATCCGCCATTTTGAATTTTTGAAATTTGACTTTAGATTCGTAATCAGCGACCTTAAAAACCCCTGAATTACAACTTTCGAGTGAATTTGGTGACTTTTATAAAACATTGCCTGCCATATTGCACCCGCCATTTTGAATTTTAAAATTTTGCAATTTTAATGTCAAATTCGCATTCAGTGATCAAAAAGGGTTCACAATACTCTCTGCTATATCAAAATTAATCACTTTTATTTTTTAAACCATCCTAATAACGTAATTTTATATATAGGTATCATTTTTAAGGTTAGTTTGAAATAAATCAAATTTATCGCAGTTGTGCGTTACAGGAAAAACCTCTCCGAGTATTTAAAAAAAAAAATATTAAAATCGGTTAAGATTTGTGTTGTCGGTAGATTTTTGTCCACAGAGGGTCATTTTTTTCCCACTGTGGGACGTCTTTATTTCATTCTTTTGACATCAATAGGATGATTTTCTCGGATTTTCTAAGGATATCTTTAGAACGTCTTTTTAACAATGTCCCAAGAACGTTCCAAAAAGCATGTCCTTGGGACATTCAGCGGATGCCCGTGCCCATTGGGTACCTTTCAGATAAATTGCTATTTAAACATAATTTTATTTTTTTACCTATGAGATGGAATTAAATTTATGTTTTACCAATAATTATTTATTTATTTGTAGAACTACAGAAGTTAATGGGAAATTGAAAACAGAAAATAAAGTAAACGCTGATTAAATCATTACTTTTCAATATTAACTATGACGAGATCATCCAGAATATACTTCTTGACCATTACACGCCATATATGAATATAACATCAGCCTTCATGTCTAAAAAACAATGATTTAATCAACGTTTACTATAATTTCTGTTTTCAATTTTCCATTAACTTTTATAGTTCTACAAACAAATAAATAATTATTACTAAAACATAAATTTAATTTGATCATTTAAGGTCAGTTGGGGTAAATGGGGACAAAATCGCTATTTTTCACAAATTACGTAAGTTACTTCCTTTAAAAGGTATAATATTGGCAGGTTTATTTTTTTAAGTTGTTATTTACGTTCCCAGGGTTAATTTTATGCAGCAGAAAAAAAATTTAGATAAGCTTTAAACGCATGAAATTGACTGTCCCCATTTACTCCAAGAATTAGAAAATTTTATAAAATTTGGGGTAAAATGGGGACAGCATAGTTTCTAAGAAAGTTTTAAGAAAAAATTTTCCTTAAGGTATCACATCGGTAAAACCGTTTTCTATAGATTTTCTTGAAAATTTTACCATATGTTCTTATTATCATTCTTGACAAATTTGCAAAATATGATGAATTTTCGCCGTACGAAACCAGAGATATTAGCAATCAAAGTTGCTTATTTTGCATGGGAGACGGGACTAATGTTGAATTCAGGAATAAATTTGGAACTGAAATATACAAAGAAATTTATAATTTACCGTGCCGTTTATTTGTAATTATAAATTAAAAATTCTATTTCATGACGTCATTTGCAATATATAGCACACCCGCCACTTTGATGTGGCAACATCGCAGGATGGTAACATTAGTTTTAGTAGTCCACAGTAGTCAAAGCGAGACTTATAGCGACGTTGTCAAACCCATAGAGTTATTATAAATAGAGTGGGGAAGGTATAGGAGCCACAGTAAGTGGCGATGAGACGCCCGAAGAGAGAGAAAGAAAACCGAAACCGTAGTTCTGTCCTTCTCTAAAAATGCGTCACTGCGCAAGCGCGGGCGAGTGACTGAAACACGTGGTTTTCAAATGTATTTTTATTCATATTTTATTCAACTTTAAATCCAACCATTTAAATTTTTTTTAATTTAACGTTAAATCTCTTCATATATCTTTTATATTTGAAAATAACGCATTCATTCACTTGTTATAAAAATAATAAAACACTGAAAACTGCGACTTGAATTTGAAGGAACAGGTTCCTTCTTACAAAGCACACACTTTATTCGCATTTTTCAATAATTATAACAACATAAAAAAAGTACTACCACGTTTCATGCGTAAAGCAAAGGAATTTTCGTGAGTAGGCAGTCTGTCACTGCCAAAATCCAATGCTTTGCTCATGCGTGAGCAGAAGAGGACAGATATACGGTTTCGGTTGTCTTTCTCTTTCTATGCAGCGGACGATTAGGTACAGTCCTTCCCCACTCTATTTATAATAACTCTATGGTCAAACCTCCTACTCCTTCCAATCGCTGCTAGTGTGGGGTATACGTGTACGAGTGTATTTGTAGAAGTAGGTACAGTATGGGCTGAGAGTATAGGGAGTTGAGGGCGAAAGTATAGTGCGGGAAGTAGTAATGCGAGCTACAAACTTTTGACTCCGATTAGTGCCGATGTGATACCTTAAGTATATTACTGTATTAAGGGATGAAAAAACTTGAAAAAAAATTTGTAGTAGATATATAATAATAGTTGAACCAATTAAAATTTTTTTATTTTTTTTTATTTCAGTATTTTGTCTCGCATTTGAAAAAAAAACAGACTTAAAAATCATACCAAATTTTTTTCTTATTCCTTATGACTCCCATAACAGAAATTCACTTGAATTTTTGATTTTTGTCAATTTGATTAATAATGACAAGCTGTCCCCATTTACCCCAAAAATTTGAAAACTCAGGGTAAATGGGGACAGCTTGTCATTATTAATCAAATTGACAAAAATCAAAAATTCAAGTGAATTTCTGTTATGGGAGTCATAAGGAATAAGAAAAAAATTTGGTATGATTTTTAAGTCTGTTTTCTTTGAATTGCGAGACAAAATACTGAAACAGTTTGACTTTGATTTTCAAGTTTTTATGCATTGAGCGATAACTTGAATTATCATGCTGACAATTGTCAAGATAAAAGCTTGGAAATACTCAAAACCTCTTGCAGGTGATCTGAGGTCAAAATATTGACGTAGAACTTAATTTTAAAACTGTAAATTAAGCTCCAAAACCTCTTGTCCCCATTCACCCCAACTGACCCTACTTTTATGTTAGTAAAAATACTGCTATAGGTAAAAAAAATTATGTTCAAACTTTTTGGTGAAAATTAGTAGCAGTGATTTTAGAATAAAAAATACAAAAACTCGATTTTCTTAAAAATACGTCTAATGATTTTTTTCTTTTTGGTCTTAAATGTTTTGAGCAAAAGTTGAATGAACATTTAAATTAAATGTTTAGCGCTAAGTTCGACTGAACATTTAAATGAAATGCTTGTTAAATGTTTAGCGAAAATACTGGTGAAAATAAAATAATGATTCCTGATATTTTTTATGGAAAACGATTAATATTCAAATATTCATTGAGCACCATATTTGAGAGGCCAAAAAAAGTATTGCGCAGCCGTAGGTGCTTTACTTTAGTAATGCGCATCGTGTTAAGTTATTTTTTTTACTGAACAGTTAACGAACATTATATTTAAATGTTCAGTCAACTTTCACACCCAACATTATTAACGAACATTTAATTTACATGTTTAGTCAACTTTGACTCTACACGGAAAAACTTTGTTCAAGAATTATTCTCAAATTTATTCAAGAACGGAGGGTATGGGAAAAATACCTGAATTGCTGCAGAACCGTAGGTTGAAATATTATTTATAGCTTTTCGGGAAAAACTGTAGTGAATTTCTGGACAACTTATTGAATTTTCAACCAAAAATTCCCGAACTCGTTTAAGAATCGAAAAGTATGAACTGCGAGAAAAAAATTTGCCTGCGTGAGTACTGGAACTTGAGATTTCGAACTACGAAGACTCAAGATAACTGCCTTATGCCGCACGCACAGTGACTGAGATATTATAGTCGCGGCGTCAAGAAAACTTATTTTGAATTCATAACAAAAACTCCTGAGAAATTCTTGAACAAAATTTTTACGTGTAAACATTTAATCATAGCGGACATTTTAATATTTATTCAACCTTTACTAAATATTGTAACTAAATATCGGTAGTTTGCACTTAGACCTTTAATAAATATTTAGTAAAGTTTCGATGCTGTGTGGGAGGAGATATAATAGAATAGAAATCTACAAAAAAATTTGAAGTGCCTCGACCTTTGGGTTGAACTTGGTTCGGACCCACCGTGCGAAACAATACGGGTTGTTGCAGATTTATTCAAGATTTTACGCATAAAAATTTTGTATTATTCAAGAATCATTTCGGATGACCAGATTAAATCTGTAATGTTGCCTAATAATTACGGATGGTCTGCTATTTTACGATTCGTCATAATTATTTGTAGCAAAGTGATAAATATTAAACTTTTATAATATTACATATTGTTTTTGTTTCCAGCTGGACTTACAATTACAAGATGAATCAGGTGGAGATATCAGTAGCTTTATTACTAACGGGGAATGGGATTTATTAGGTATGTTATCAAATTTTTAAGAAATTATAGTGTAAGTTCTTTTATTTTTCTCATTAGGAAAAAAACTGCCAAAATATATACCTAATATTTTAGTTACACAATTTTTATCATGAAGGTTAATATAATGAACAAAATGTGAATGAATGAAAGAAATTAAATCTAATTAATTTGCGATTGATACACTGAAAAAAAAATTTATTAAATAAATTTTGATTCAAATACTCGATTACTTGACTATTATCAAATAAATATTTATTTGATAATACTCAAGTAATTGAGTATTTGAATCAAATAATTTTTTTTTCAGTGTAAAAATCAATTAAAATTAATAACATAAATAAATATAATTAACGGATATTCATTGCAATATAATAATTTAAATCAATAAAAGCATTCAATACATTAATCGTTGTAAAATGTAATTTCGCAAGTATAATTATTCGATACACAACATACACACATTTAGTTATTAGTACAAAATAAAAAAGAAGAAAACCGACCATCAACAATGGCTTCATGATATGAATATCTATACGTATAAATTGTCAAACATAGGTCGTAACTTTTCGAATTCATATCTTATTAATTGACGCCTTTCATTTGCTCTTAAATAATACCTTTGGATTTCATTAAGTATGTGAGAAATTAAAAGTACTTATCCGCAATATGAAGTAGTATTTTATGAAATAATGAAACTATCAGTTTGTAATGATATGAATATTTAAGCTAATGGATCCACTCGCTTTTTTTCAAAAATTTTTTTTTAATAAAAAAATTTTTTAATAGCAAAATTTAAGGTGATATACAATAAAATCTTATTCCTTGCGTCAAGACGAATCGATTGGTATATATAAAATATAGATTTGATTGAAATTTAAAGAATTAATGAAAATTAATATATAAATTTTTAAATAAATAAATAAATTTTTAATTTTTCAAAAAATTTTATTACTTTTAATGAATTTAAATCAATCAAATGAGTGTCCCGATCAAATAACTCGACCGACGCTCGGACGAACGCTCTATTACCAGTCAAGTAGCAGTACTTGACGGCGGCTCACTGCTACCCGACTACCATTAGAGCGTGCGTCCGAGCGTCGGTCGAGTTATTTGATAGGGAAACTCAAATGAATTAAAGGAATTGATTACTTCCTCCACGAGGAAGCAAATTTTTTGCGTCACACAACGAGGAAACAAAATGTTCATGAAATGAACATAACGGACTACATACTTTTTATAAAGTTCACAATTAAATTTTTGCTCGAAATAGCATCAAAATTTTAGACAGTTAATTAAAGCGTTAATACAAGTTTTTCCTATTTCAAATAATAAATTTTTAGAAAAAAAAATATTACACGGAAAAACTTTGTGCAAGAATCATTCCTAAATTTGTTCAGGAACTGAGGATATGAGAATAATTTAAGAAATCTTATTTATATTTTCTTTGAAAAATTCTAAGCAGTATTTCTATAAGAATTGTAGAGAAATTCAAGACAACTTCCTAAACTCACTACAGAAAGTCTTGAACTTGTTTTAAAATAAATTTTTACGTTTGGGAGAAAAAAAATTTACTCTGGGAGGACTCGATCCCACGTCCTCGAGAGTCCAAAAACTCCGCTTTACATCTCTCAGCTACCTTTATAAAAATACAAGTATTTTCTTGAATGATTTTTGTATTTTTCTGTAAATTTTGCAGAATTTTTCTCATATCCTCAGTTCCTGAACAAATTTAGGAATGATTCTTGAACAAAGTTTTTCCGTGTATAGTCATAATTGTTTATTGATATATTTTACAAGAAATATTTAAATTTTATTTTATTTAGATTAAATTGAATTTAGAAAAATTAATTAATTTCTTTAGGTTTTTTATTTTGTAGAATAATTTATGTTTCTTAGTTAAATTGTATTAATAATATTCAAATTTTTAAATTTTATCTTAATAAAATCGTTAAAGATTAGTCTCCTTTAACGTTAAGTTAAGTGGCTAGTCATTTCTAATAAATAAGATTTTTACGTATTTCAAATTTAGAGCGCACACACAATCATAATTCGACTATACTAGGATACATCTATTGTTACTAGTTAAATCGTCTATTTTCATGAGTGGACCACTTAAATTTTTCAATTTAATTACACATTTGACATTTCAATGAATGCAAATCGTCACTAAAGTTAGTTTAAAGTGATTTTTTCTGTACTTAAATGGTATTTTGTTCCAATTTCATATAAAATAGGAAAATGTTACAAAAAGTCACGAAACAGTACAATAAAACAGAATTTAATGATTAAAATGTTTGATTTTTTTCATTTTCATTGAAAAGTATTTTAAATAAATAATTATTCAATGAATATTTAAATTGTATGATATTTAATGAATTTTAAGATAATTTTTCCAGGGTGGTCCACTCATGACTACATTCCCCTATATATTATAAAAATTTCCACTGATATTTATGATGAATACCGACGTTGTAAAAATTATATTTGTCGCATAACTCTAATTTATTATTTATTTTTGTATTAGGAGTACCTGGAAAGAGAAATGAAATCTATTACAATTGTTGTCCAGAGCCATACATAGATATCACTTTTGTTGTAATGATAAGAAGGCGAACTCTGTACTACTTCTTCAATTTAATTGTACCTTGTGTCTTGATTGCTAGTATGGCAGTTTTAGGCTTCACTCTGCCACCAGATTCTGGTGAAAAACTGTCTCTCGGTAAATATTTTCAATATAAATTTTCAAGTAAAAAGTATTTTACAATTTACATGTTTACCATTATTTCAAGCACAAAATGTTAAAATAAAAAGACATACAAAATATTAAGTATAGAATAAATATTGTCACCTAGTAAATTGAAAATTCATTAAATTAATAGTGTTTCTTTAATAATTGTGAAATTTAACTGCTTATAGACTGGCTATGTTTATTATTCTTAAATAAATAAGACATATGCGAGGGGGAATATACTCAGGTAGTCAAGTGTACACTCTTACTGTAATATTTATGTAATAACGTGTAATACCGTGTAATAATGCGTTATTACAGTGCTGTAATAACGCAAAAAACTCTGTAATATCTCTGTAATACTCTGTAATAACGTGTAATACTTAGTAATAAGGGTAATATGAGGTGTAATACCGGTAGTCAAGTGTACACGTTTTTAACTAGTAAATTCCTCCTCGGACATATGTAATATGTCTTATATTATAAAGAATGTTACTAAAGTTGTAATAAGTTATAATATTAATATAATTACATTATAATGTATGAAGTAAATACTTCTTTATTTTTACAAAAAAGAAATCAAGAGAAGTCATACGGAAAATAAAAACCATTGTGTATAAATAAAATCATGTGTAAAAATATATAAAAACGAGTGTAAAAAATATATAACAAATATAAAAAATATTTCTTTAATTAATAGAAAAACAAGTTTTTTGTCACGTTTTTGACATGTGACACATTTTTGTCTTCCATAGAGTATATCAGTCTATATAGAAGGGTTAGGCAAATGTGTAGAAGGTAAGGCAAGGTTTATAGTTTACGTGGTTAGACTGATATACTCTATGGAAGACAAAAATGTGTCACATGTCAAAAACGTGACAAAAAACTTGTATCTATTAATTAAGGAAATGTTTTTTATATTTGTTATATATTTTTTACACACGTTTTTTATATATTTTTACACATGATTTTATTTATACCCCAAGTAGAAATGTCCGTAGCTCGCCGTAATTAAACATCGGTATGGTACTGATCCAATACTGGCCGTCGGTATTGACTTTCAGTACTGGCAGTGTACTGACTAATACACCGAATCAGTACTATATCGAAGGTAAACAAATATTAAAACCAGTACTGGCAGAACACTGTCATTCACACCGAATCAGTACTATGTCGGTGGTAAAAAAACATTAAATGAAAAAGTCTTTAAATTATTCCAATAGGTAGAAAACGATGATTTTTTATTAAAAAATATGTTTATTAATTTCTTTCCAATACTTTTTTACTTTAGATAAAAAAATTCAAGAATAAATACATTTTATTTTCGTGATCAATAGATAATACGGTCTTCGAAATCAAAACTTTTGCATTAGGGTAAACTACTTCAAGTCAGCACTTCAAGCCAGCGCGGCTGTGCGGTATGCGTATCCGACTTGCGTTCTTAGGGTTTAGGGTTCGATCCCTCATGCGTGCGAGATTTTTCATTCTTAGTTTTAAGTGTTATAAGTACAATATTTGTTTATCTGTAATATTAATTATTAAATAATAATTAATTAAGTATAAGTGCAAAGTAAAAAAAATTAAATAGTATGAATTAAAAAAAAATTACAACACAAAAATATTTTTTGTAAATTAATTTATTAAAAATAATATAATTTAATTAACATATATGATAATTATTATTTCAATTATTTATTATTAATAGTAGTTTATATATTCTAAATTAAATTAACTATTATTACCCTCACATTACCTTTTTGTGGTAAAAATGGGAGTAATAAGCTTATAAGGATGAAATTTGCAATGGAAAGAGAATTATATAGTATTTTGTAAAAAAATGAGATTTTAACTCCGGATGAATACTTTACCAGTATTATGCCAGTATTATTCCAGTACTACGTTAGTACTGGTGAGCGGGACAAAATCAGTACTGGAGAGCGTTACCAGCCAGGGCTGGCCCACTACTGACCCAGTACGGCAGTCAGTACTGTTATACTGACTGGCAGTGTTGGGTCAGTACTATGCCAGTGGCACATTTCTACTTGGGACACAATGGTTTTTATTTTCCGTATGACTTCTCTTGATTTCTTTTTTGTAAGAAGTTTTGACAAACCCTTTTGAGGTTATGAAAAATTTTTTTTCAAATGTTTTTCAAAAATACTTGGTATGTACACCATAAAATAGTTTGCCAAAATGTTTCTCGTAGAAACTTATGTATTCTATTGGCTTTTTACAGATTATTTATCTTGTTTTGTTTTTTTCTGATGAGGATACAGAATACTGTGTCGAAACGCGTCAAATTTTGATGTAATTAAATAAATATAAGCCAATAGGCCACAAAATTTAAAAAGACATCTTCTCTCTATAATTATATTATATTATAATAATATTAATAACAATAATAATAATAATAATAATAAATAATAATAATAAATAATAATAATAATAATATCTCTCATATTATAAAGAATGTTACTAAAGTTTCAAAACATTTTTTGTTTTTTAGGAGTGACTATTCTTTTGTCACTTACGGTGTTCTTAAACATGGTAGCTGAGACAATGCCTGCAACATCTGATGCTGTACCGTTATTAGGTAATCACGACGACTGTAATTACGATCATAATTACGATCCTGAATATGATCATAAATACATCCGAAAAATAAAATTATGACTTATATATTGAATTAATAGTAATAGTATTGATTTTTGTTATTAATACAATAAGATACAGTAAATCCTCGTTAATGCAGACTCGGATAACACGAACAGCCGGTTAATACGAACAAAAATTTCGGTCTCGGCAAAGCCCTATGTAAATTGCATTGAACGCACCTCGGTTAACAGGAAATTCCAACAATATTTAAGGCCCTTAATCCCTTTTCAACTCGGTTAACGCGAACTATATTTCTAAATAATTTATGAAATTACGTTGTATAGAAGCCAACAAGTTAAGAGATTCACACTTAAAGGCCTTTTCTTAATTTTTTTCTGGATTCCAGTGATTCAGTGTAAAAGTTTAAAGCGAATAATTAGTAAGATATCGCATTTTCAAGTAATATCAGTGTATTATAAAGTAAACGAGCATTGTCCTTCAAACAAAATTAATAATTTTAGAACAAAGGGAGTAACAAAAATTTGACAAAATCTTAGATCTCAGAAAAGTTTGATATTCCTAAACCTTTAAGGGGTTATGCCACTCTAGAGACCGAAAAAATAGGTGTTTTATGTGAATTTTTTTTAGAAAAACCATAAAGTCAATTAAAAATATAATATAAGAAGTTTATTATACATCTTTTTAGGTGTAAAAAAATAATTTCTTATAAATATTTCTTGAAGAATGGTGGCGCTGTAGCGGTCGTTCTTCGACTCCTCTATGGTTCAAGGGGTACGTGGCCGAACTAACTGCTCCTGTAAATTTTGGAATATCTTGAGTATCTAAATTTTTTTTTATTATATATTACAATAGCTAAAGTAACACGTAGGATTTTTTCGATATATTGATTCATGATCAAATGGCGCACTTCTAAAGTTAAACTTTCTAATTTCGACTAAAAAACCATCAGTTAATAGTTAATAACAAATGAACTATATAGAATAAAAAAAATCCTACGTGATACCTTAAAAAATGTATTTTTAAAGATGTGTGTCAAATTTGAACCTAATCGGTTGGAAATTGTACGAGTTGTTGGTTCGGCCAACTCGAAAAATGTAGTTTGGAGATAAACGCGTTTAAAGTTTTAAGTTGTACAAAACTTAAATAATTTCACAATACCTTTAATCTGCAATGCCTGCACCATATAATTGACCACTATAGTCTAGCAAGTAACTAGCGCCTTTGAAAACATCTGCCGTATACCTGCTGTAGATCCTTCAAAGATTACCCCCCGTAGAACTGACAAAAGGAGCTCGCCGCGTACCGTGCAGCCTTGCAAGGAACTTCGAAAATAAATTATTTAGAGATTTTTCCGAGCCATAATCCTGCAATATGTTATTTCTGAGACCCTAAGGAACTATTTAAAGCAAAAAAAAGGGATTTTTTGAAAATCCTAGAGTGGCATAACCCCCCAGTAAAAAATAAAAGATACAAGAACGGCGGATTGCGGTTACAAGCTCAATAGCTGGTAAACGAATCCATGAGAATCTCGGATACAAGCACTTTTCGGTATCCGAAATGATCATAAGCTTGTAAACGCACTGAAATGGACGACTTTTGTAGGTCTTTTAATCAAGAAAAAACAATTAAATGAATGCAGAAACGATGGAAAATTAAATTAGAAGCAAAAATAAATAATTATTTTTTAAAGAAACGTACATTTAAACAAAAAACAATTATTCTTACTAATTCTAACCTCTGCATTAAAAACATTGTAAAAACAGTGTTTTGTTGGTAATTTTACCTTACCGATATTGGATATTAATTTAACGTGGGTTTTTCGATTTTCCAATTTCAGAAGCAATTCATAATAATCAAAATATTATTAAACATAAAACGGTGCTCATTTTTAATTTCCTTTCCCCCTTTTATTTAAATCATTTTAAATTGCATTAAAATAGAAAATTCGAAAAAAAACCCTCGTTAAATTAATATTCAACGTTGGTAAGGTAGAAAACCATATTTTCCGAATAGCAACATAAAATTACCAACAAAACACTGATTTTACAATGTTTTTAATGCAGAGGTTAGAATTAATAAGAATAATTGTTTTTTGTTTAAATGTACGTTTCTTTAAAAAATAATTATTTATTTTTGCTTCTAATTTAATTTTCCATCGTTTCCGCATCCATTTAATTGTTTTTTCTTGATTAAAAGACCTACAAAAGTCGTCCGTTTCAGTGCGTTTACAAGCTTATTATCATTTCGGATACCGAAAAGTGCTTGTATCCGAGATTCTCATGGATTCGTTTACCAGCTATTGAGCTTGTAACCGCAATCCGACGTTCTTGTATTTTTTATTTTTTACTGGGCCCTTAATTAAAAACTAAGCAAGTAAAATTGCATCTGATTTTGGAATTTTAGCCAACAGAAAAGCATAAAACTATTACCAAATCGTCTAATAAAAATTTGCTATTCTTTATATAAATTATTGTAATTAATGTTTATAAATACAAGAAATATTGAATTTTAGTATGTTAGACTAGTTATAATGACAACCTCGATAACACGAACAGGCAAATTTTCCGGTCTTTTCAAGTTCGTGTTAACGAGGATTTACTGCAGTACTTAACAATTAAATATAATATTAAATGCATATTATAATGTAGATTTTGGGATTATTTTATTTTAGTTATTTCCATTCAAAACACGTTATTTACACTTATTTAATTTTAATATAGCCCGACGCTAAGTTATTTTATGAAAAATAACTAAACTAGAAAATAGTTAAATAACCTGACAAAGTAATGGTACGGTCACAGTATACGAAGACCGAAAGTCAAGATTGCTAATTTTATCTTAATCTTAGAACTTTAATAATAATGGGTCGACTTAGAAGGAAACCACTTATAAAACTTATCGCCCATTTGACGACACCTTGTCCCACAATTATTAATTTTACATTTTAATTATTTCACAAAAAAAAAAATGTAGAACGCAACTATACTTTACAAATACCAGAATGAGAGTAAAATGGCCGACGTGTTAAACTTGAAAACATCGCTAATCAGCGGCCTGTCTTCTCGGTGTAATTTAGATTAATTAATATTCAATAAACCGATAGTATAACTTGGGCGGTAAAGTGCCTTGACTTGCGATCGCCGAGGTTAAGCACATCCAAGCACGGTTAGTACTTGGATAGGTGAACGCCTCAGTACCCGCCATAACTCTGGTGTTTTCGCTGACTAAAGAGGGAATTTTGAACACACTACGCCTTCTCGTCTGGAGGTAGGGTGAGACCGGGGTGGTTTTAGACTGCGGTCTGACATTTTGGTCTGGGAGCGCAACTTTCGCGTGGTCCCGCTAGAAGTACAGGATTCTTGTCCTTGCTAACTCACGCCCACTATTGTTGGGGTGTTATCGGGGCCAAGATTAATGTAACTAACCGCTCCGTTATTTCATCAGGCACCCTCTTCTTGCACTCTAGACATCGTCTATCTTACGTTCTCAAGAGCACAAGGAATTTTATGTCATAAGAGGCGTTTTTCCATCTCCGAAGTACCTTGAGGTCAATGTAGCTAGAAGGGATTATAGCCCCTACATGGGCCTGGGTATCCCCAAAGGACTTTGTCCTTTCTCTCTTTAAGAGCATGTGCAAGTCTGTATTCAGTAGAAGTTTTCCGTAGGTTTCCTCTACTCTGATCAAGAAAGGGTCATGCAAATGCGAATACTTCTAATAAAAATCGGCTACAGTCAACAAAACAGCATTTTCGTCTTCCTGCTGTTCTTGAATATTCAGGACTCACATCCGAATATATTAGGGTGGTCCTTAAAAACAAAAATTTTTGAATTTTAAAGTTCAAGGAATAAGATCCAATAATTTGTTTATGAATTTTTTAATAATAGGGGAGAATAGTTAGGGTTCGACAGTGGTCAAGGTTGAGCCATCGTGTTTATTTTGTTTAATTACACTAGATCCATCTGTCTTTGTATGTAAGTATTTGTTAGCAATGTCAGCGAACTTTTCACATACGCTGTAGTGAATTGTGCAAACAATAAAGACGTATTATGCAAGTCAGTGCTGTAGGCTCAAGAAAAAACTTTTTTCTTGTTTCAGAAGAAGACAATTAAGTGCAGAAAAAATATGTCAAAGACAAAGTAACTTGACTGAAATTGTTTATTAAGATGTTATATGAAAATGTGGAACGTAATATGGTGTTTGGATCACGCATTTATTTTTGTGTGTAATGTGACGCTAAACGACGCGTGAGTCAGGGTTGAGCCACCAAAAAATTTTGTAATTATGAAAGGTTCTTGCAATAGAAATTCATTTGTCGACTCAAAGAGGTGTCAAAAACTTCATTTCCATTGGAAATAAAGGAAATACGAATTTTTGATAATTTTTTTTTACTTTTCAGACCAGCTTCGCGATACAAGCGAAAATTTGAAAATTACACATTTCCAAGTGTATTTGAATGCCATTCTATCATTTAAAGGTCATTATTAATCCCAAAACCCTCCCCCCCAATGCAAAATCAGGGAAAAATCGTTAAAAAATGTTTATTAAGATTTTTTATTTACAACTTAAACAAATATTATTAATTCTATTTTTAGAACAATTGCAATTTGTTTAAATAATATATTGTTGTTATTGTAAAACTGTGCTTAAAAATATATGTGGAAAATGATGTTTTTTTTAATTTTATAACTTTTATTGACATGAACTTCAATAAATAACACCTAGCCATTTCTACTGATTGAACTCAAACTTAGCGTACATACGTATTTTTGCGAGTAGATTAAACGAAAATTATAGCGAATCCGATTGGAATTAAATTGAATATAGTTATATTCCAAAAACTCGAAATTTCGGAAAAAAAACGTGTGTCCTCCTTAACTTTTACAGTTTTGGAGCTAGAATGTTCAAACTTGGCATACATATACGTATTTTCGCGAGTAGATTAAAGGAAAATTATAGCGAACCCGATTGGAATTAGA